TTTTTTTTTTTTTTTTTTTTTTGAAAACTCACCTGCAGTATGTATCCTCTTGTGTAATCCTCGTGGGTCCAGCCGAATGCGGCTAGTAGTCGTGTCACTTTCGCGTTGGACAACTGATTAAACAACTGATCAAGCAATATCTTAAGTCGTATTGGTAGTGCGCGTGAGCCGTAAAGGACGAGTGATGCGACGTCAAACACGGCCGTCGGCTCGACAGTCTCTGAAGCCGGTCGACTCTCCTCCTTCTTTGCGACCTCAACATCATCCCCACTACGCGACCCAGCGTTTAGCTTTACCCTCCCTACGGCGCTTTTGTCCTCCCTACCAGTGTATCGTGGGACGGTGGCGACATCCCCACCACTTGGCTGGAAAACAGCCGGATGGGTTGACAGTCGTGCTAGGGCTGCAACAAAATATCATCTTATCAACCAACAATTTTTTTTCTATTCATTTTTTCAACTCAAATGCACATTCCATTCATGTCCTCGCGATTTTGCAAAAATTTCGCCCCTGAATTTCGGCAAAATCTCTCAATTCTTCATTCGAATAACATTTGTTATTTTTTTTTAGATATTTTGTTATAATATTTTTTCAGGGATTAGGATGGAAAAAGATCATGAGAAATGAATTTTTCAGGCCAAATGAACTCGAAATATTTCCAAGTCTGGCGTAACCTCGGCGAAATAGACAGTTGACCGACAATATTTCACCTTTTTTTTAAAATAGGATATTTTGTTGACATTCTGTCTCTCTCACTGCAGCTCCCCCCACTCCAGGCTTTAAAAAAATCCCCGACGCGAGTGTTTGTAGCTGAATGGTGGGGTTGGATGGTCACCCGTCCTCGTTGTCACGAGACTACCGTATCCCCACTACTTCCTCGTGCCGTCCCCACCACCCTGAGGGAGACAGAGTGCTCGCAGGAAGTGAGACGAACAGACGGAGGACAGATAGCGAGACTACGGTGGCAGTACATGCTTATGCTTACTTTGCACACTCTCGCTCTTTCCCCGTCTTGCCCCACCACGGCTTATGCTCTATGCGTCCTCCCACCCCTTTTTCGTATCCTCAAATGTCCGCCCCCGCCACTAGGACTCGTGTCGCTGAGTCGTCGCGTTCATCCAGTGTTCTGTACTGTTCAGTGTGCACTATAGTGGTATATCCCCACCATTCGTCGCGTATTAACGCGCATCTGCCGCCTTCGGACTTTACTGATAGGCGATGTGAATGGGCATCGTGGACCTGGCCATGCTGATGCAATTATTTTTTGCGAAAAATGTCAACTTCAAAATTTTGTTCAATTTATTTGCCAATGCTTGCTTCTTTCATTTCACTAGATTAGTCCGCGCGCGTATGTCCTACTCCGTGAAGCTAATGTATGTCAATTATAGTGAATAGTATTATACTAGATCTGTGCGCGCGCTTTCGCGCGCGCTCATCTTTTTGTTGTGAAATTGAAGAAATCGAATTTATTCAATTTTATATACTCATAAATGTTTTATAAATATTGATAATGACTTAAAGAGAATCAAGAGAATGAAGAGAATGAAGAGTGAAGCATCAATGAATAATTTTTAATCTCCGATTAATTCTTTTTTTTTTACTTTTTAAAATAATCTGATTAAAATGTGTAATTGTTGAAAAATCAGGGGAGGGATATTATGAATTGATTTCCTAGAAAACTGAAAAAATTTCTTGAATTCTTCGGAAAATTTCACAGTTTTCTAGATAACCGTAGATCACAGATTTTTCTCGAATTATTTGGGAAACCGAAGAATTCTCGGGAATTTTGTAGAGTTTAGAATTTATGTATGAAAATCTGAGAAGCAAGAATTGATCATTTTGGCGTGTGATAAATATGAAAAATTTAAAATTTGGGAAGTGAGAAATAATTTGTGAGTTGAAAAAATTTAGAAATACTGTTTTTTTTTTCTCATGATCAACAATTAGGCAATTTAGATATGTTTTGATATAAAGATCAACTTCACACATGAAAAAATGAAAAATATGACGCAGAAAAAATTTTAGCGAAAAAAAATTGTAAAATATCGTCAGATTTTTTTTTCAGTGTAAAAACTGTTTTTACGAAAACAGGTCAGGCAATCTCTAAATTCTGAAGTAATCAAAAACTGAAACAAAAAATGATAAAAGTGACGACGCATTTGAAATTTTCCTGACAGGCTTTTCGCCCTTCTGTGTCTATAAGAATTAGATTGAGTTTTGAGGCTTTCGCGGCCAACATTATTATTTATTATGGCTTCCGGATGGATGCCGCGTCTAGATTCAGCTTCTTGCCGATGTTTCGCAAACATTTCAGTCTGCATCATCAGGGCTAGGTCGCTCCGATACTGAAATGCAATTATTTTATGCAAAAAATATTAACTTCAAAATTACTTCAATTTATTTGCCAATGCTTACTTTTTTTATTTAATTTTTTTCGTGGGGCTAAATTCAATCAGAATCACGTGATAATTGAGTTGTCCTTCCTCCCAATTGAAAAATGTTTTTTTCTGTATAACAAAAAAACCTCGTAGAACATCTCCATTTTTTTCACTGTAAAAACTATTTTTACAAAAAAGACCAGGCGATACTCTCAATTATAAAATAATGATGAAGACTCAAACAAAAAATGAAGAAAGAAGTCTGACGACGCATTTGGAATTTTCCTGAACTAATCAAAGCTTTCCCTCAATAATCGTCACGCTTTTCGCCCATTTCGTGTCTACAAGAGTTACATTTTCATCATGAAAGTCCGCCACAGCCCTAACAATAGCCTCCACAGAGACTCAAGCATGAGTATGGGATCCGCGTTCTACTGAGTTTATGCCCGCTCAGGAGGTGTGTCTAATATCTTTCTAATACATTCCTCAGTATGCTATTTCTTTCGTGATCATCACCGTGACTGTACTCTATGGATAACAATTCCCCTGCGATCACGAGAAAGTTTTTGATTTTACACATCAGTTACAATTATTTTTTGTGACTGTTTATCAAGGAGATGTTTTTTTTTGTTCACTGGTGTCGATAGCCCCTCGCAGCGATATTGCGCCGATAGCCGTTGAGAGTCTGTTTCATTTCTTCCATTCGTTGTTATTGTCGTAATGTATATGTCGAAGTGATCTCCACCTACTGATTCCGGTGATCTCTCAGAGGGACACAGCGGTTTCACCACGAGGGCATCAATAGAAATCATGGAGTCATGCCGATTGGGCGCCACTTGTCATTAATGACTGTACGTTTTCTTCATTTTATTTTTTTTTCGAGTGGTTTTCTTCATTCGGATTTAATTAGAGACCGATGACGATCGGAAATGTCCCATCTCTCGGGGCGAATGACGGGTAATGAAGGCTTTTTTGTTGTGAATTTTTGGGTGCGGGCGGAACGGGGGGTGGACAGTTAATATTAGGGTTGTTCCATTTTCGAAAAAGAAGATTTTTTCAAGTACATTGATAGACAGGATTAGTTATTGTTAACAAATGGATTTGGTTGAAGGCTAGGGTCTATTTGGTCTCACCAAATGTTCATTCGTTAATAGTTAACGAATGCATATTTGAGAAGTCTTGTTTGACTCGACATTCACCTTTCAAGTGAACCATTCGTTAACTATTAACGAATATTCATTTGGTCATATTCAACTCTACCATTCGTTAATAGTTAACTAATCTCCTTTGGAATAAATGAATCAGTCTGTCAGCGCAGACATAAAAATTGCGGAAAAGAAGATTTTTTCGAGTACATTGATAGACAGAATTAGTTATTGTTAACAAATGGATTTGGTTGAAGTCTAGAGTCTATTCGGTCTTACCAAATGCTCATTCGTCAATAGTTAACAAATGCACATTTGAGAAGGCTTGTTTGACTCGACTTTCACCTTTCAAGTGAACTATTCGTTAACTATTAACAAATATTCATTTGGTCATATTCAACTCTACCCTTCGTTAATAGTTAACTAATCTCCTTTGGAATAAATGAATCAGTCTGTCACCGCAGACATGAAAATTGCGGAAAAGATTTTTTTGAAGTACATTGATAGACAGAATTAGTTATTGTTAATAAATGGATTTGGTTGAAGTCTAAGGTCTATTCGGTCTCACCAAATGTTCATTCGTCAATAATTAACAAATGCACATTTGAGAAGGTTTGTTTGACTCGACTTTCACCTTTCAAGTGAACTATTCGTTAACTATTAACAAATATTTATTTGGTCATATTCAACTCGACCATTCGTTAATAGTTAACTAATCTCGTTTGAAATGAATGAATCAGTCTATCAGTGTGTAACAAAATGATAGTTTTTAAATAATTAGCGGCTGGTCTCAGTTTCAAGTGGTCGCCCCCCTCCATTTTGCATGGGTAACGACCTAACGAGCGTATCCATCGGGACCTTGAGCCTCCTCTCACCCCCGTTTCACCCTCTCACCGTCCAATTGAGCAGGTGCACCCAGTCATTGTCTAAAATTGCAAGATAACCGCGCGAATCTCCAAAACTCCCCGTGACCGGGTTGACAGAGTGGCCGGGGGTACAAACTGACAGCACAAACTGAACAATGAGCACCTCCAAGTCAAGGGTATCCCCGACAATTCTTAGACAATGGAGTGACTCTCGACAGGTTGAAATTCGATAGTCCCTGGAGGACCATTTGCATTCTGCATTTTGAATATAACCCTGTGGGTGTTATTGAGAGACACTGGGAATACTTTCCCCTTCTTGAATAGAGTGGGTATTGGTGACAGTGAGCACAATTTGGTGGCGTTTAGTTACGCCAACGATAGCCCTAAACGTTTATTCTTCCACTTCAAGGTCGTCAATGGTAACAATCGAACAAAAGAAATTTACGGTGTTCAAAATTTTTTTTTTTCGTCTTTCGAATATTACACGAGGAAAACATTTGGAGAGCGAAATTGCATTTCAGGAATTTTTATTTCGAGTCAAGGAAATAAATATGAGGGAAAGGATAAATTTTCTCTTTTGTAGGTACACGGGAAAAAAAATGTACTTGAATTGAGTATACAGTATCCTTGATTCGAGTATAAAATATACTTAATTCAAGTATATTTTATACTCAATTGAAGTATATTTTTTTCCGTGTAAGTAATTTTAGATGTATTTTTTTTTGCAGTAATTGAATATTTGGGGGCGAAAATATTGAACAAAACCGATCAGAACGAGAAAAAAAATTGAAAAAGATTCCATTTAATTGTTACCTCGCTTTTTGTTTCAATAATAATAATAATAATTATTATTATGATTTTACAAAATATATTCTCCCGTTAATCACCGTTGACTCGTGTGCCAATTCACTCGGGCAAAAATTTGCAACCCAATATATTCGAGAGCACGCTGGTAATTAAGCGTAACTGACGTGTAACGCGAGGCCAGTGTATGCACCCGAGAGATTCTTTTTT